ACAAAATAAGGAGGGATAGGGCAGGAGGGATAGGGCGGGAGGGCCCTTGGATAACTGTGGGAGACTTAATGAGTTGCAAAAATAGGGTTTCAGAAGCTACACTTTGCCTATAACTGGCACAGATATTCAAGGGCTTGAGACCAATTTTACACTTCTTTCCACAGTGCCGGTCTTCCTGGCTTCTGTAACATTTAAAAACAAGTTTTATACGAGCTCTGTTCCCCTCCTGAGGAGCTATTAATTCCCTGCTGACAATCTTGCTGGGTTAAGTGTCATCACTGTGCTTTCTTATTCCTTTCCCCCCACTTCCAAGGAAACTGTTCCTGTGCTAAACTGGTGCCTGATGATCATAACAGACAGCACAAGTCTTAATCTAGATAAGGCAGGGGGGCTCCTGGTCAGTCGAAAGACCGGCCTGGGAATAGCAATTCAGCTGATGGTAGGTGGGATAATGCTCCCTCCGAAAACACAGCTTTGCAGTTTGGGGTATTTCTGGATCCAGCCATGGCCAGGAGTGTATTTGTAGTTTAAACTAGCATGCTATCTATGCCCATTCCTTGCAAAGTCAGATCTGGGCATAGTAGTGCCTGCCTTGGTTACATTCTCTTTGAATAATCGTAATGTGCTCAATATGGGGCTGCCTTTGAAAATTCTCTGATATAACAGTTGGCCCAGGCTGTTAATTGGGGTTGGTTTCAGGCAGCACAACTTCCTTGTTGCAACATGGCTGCCTTTCCCTTTCCAGGCACAATTCAAAGCGTGCATTTTGGTGTATAAACTTCTATGTTTGCTGTTTATCCATTCAGTTGCTTCCGACTCTTCATGAACCAGCCCACCCCAGGGCTCCCTGTTGACCGTGGCCACCCCCAGCTCCTTCAAGGTCAAGCAAGTCACTTCAAGGATGCCATCCATCCATCTTGCCCTTGGTTGGCCCCTCTTCCTTTTTCCTTCCATTTTCCCCAGCATCATTATATTCTCCAAGCTTTCCTGTCTTCTCATTATGTGGCCAAACTACTTCATCTGTGCCTCTAATATCCTTCCTTCCAGTGAGCAGTCGGGCTTTATTTCCTGGAGTATGGACTGTTTTGATCTATAATAATAATAATAATAATAATAATAATAATAATAATAATAATAACAATCTGCCTGCGACAAAGAACTGATGGGATCACAAGCCGGAAAAAGTTACAGAGAATGAACGCGTCAAGTTACTCTGGGACTTCCGAATTCAGACAGACAGAGTTCTGGTGCACAATACTCCTGACCTCACGATCATGTTAAAAAAACAAAGTATGGATTGTCGATATTGCAATCCCAGGTGACAGCAGGATTGAAGAGAAACAACTGGAAAAGCTGACACGATATGAGGACTTAAAGATCGAACTGCAAAGACTCTGGCATAAGCCAGTCAAGGTGGTCCCAGTGGTGATCGGCACACTGGGTGCAGTGCCTAAAGACTTTGGCCTGCACTTAAACACAATCAGGGCTGACAAAATTACCATCTGCCAGCTGCAGAAGGCCACCTTACTGGGATCTGCATGCATTATTTGCCGATACATCACACAGTCCTAGACACTTGGGAAGTGTCCGATGTGTGATCCAATACAACAGCCAGCAGAGTGTCTGCTGTGGACTCATCTTGTTGTGTTTCAAATAATAATAATAATAATATTAAAAAAATTATTGGTACCCTGCCACCATCTTCCTGAAGGGACTCGGGGCGGCTAACATAATGCCAGGCCCAAGCAATTTCAATAAGGCAAAATAAAATGCATACAAAACAGACGATAACATCTTGCGGTCAAAGGCACTCTCAGAATTTTCCTCTCGCACGGCAGTTCAAAAGCGTCTCTCTTCCTTCGCTCAGTCTTCCTTTAATGGTCCAGCTCTCACATCCATAGGTTACTATAGGGAATACCATTGCTTTAACTATATGGATCTTCGTTGCCTGTGTGATGTCTCTACTCTTCACTATTTTATCGAGATTGTTCATTGTTCTCCTCCCAAGAAGTAAACTTAGGTCCAGGTTATTTGAAGGACCATACCCACCCTCTCAAAAAGCTTTAAAATGAAATTGCCTCTGTATTTAGTTTGAATTTCTAATGGGAGTGAATCTGTGTTTTCCTCAACCCTGCCAAAAATATATATTTACATAAACTTCTAATATTTAAATATAGGCTTTAGGTGAAGCCCTTGCTGACAGGCCTAGTAATGAACTCTTATGGGGGAAACAGTCTACTAAGCATGCTCTGTTTGCTATGAGTATATTGAGCATGCTCTGTTTGTCCTAAGGAAAGAAAAGGGAGGAAGCAACTGAGATGCCCTCTGTTGGGAGCCCAGGGATGTGGTTTTACAGCATGCTCCATTTAGAGCAAGTTCAAGCTTAATACAGGCAGTCCCTGGGTTACAAACATCCGACTTACAAAGGACTCACAATTAAGAACGGGGCAAAACAACAGAAAGTGAGAGAAATCTACCTCTAAGAAGAGAAATTAGCTTCTGAAAGAGTTATCATGGGGGAGAGGTGTATTCACTGGACTTTATCGCCAGTCCTTATTTCTGTACCAAGCCAAGTTTTTTTCAAAATCCAATTAAAACAGGGAAAGAAAGTGAGGGGAAATCTTCTGAACAGAGACACAGACACTAAAGTAAACATCATATTCCCTATGCTATCAGAAGTTTGTGTGTGTGTGTTTACAGATATAGATATAGGAATAGATATATAGATATAGATATATCTTACTGTGGAAGACAATCTATAATAATAATAATAATAATAATAATAATAATAATAATAAACCTTTATTTGTACCCCGCTACCATCTCCCGAAGGACTTGGTGCGGCTTACAAGAGGCCGAACCCCAATTACAATAGTAAAACAACAGCAACAACAAACAGTAAAATAACTCAAAAAACAAAGCAATAACATTAACAATACACAGTGACGCAATTAAAATCAACGGCAGGGCCAAATGTAATAATTAAAAATTAAAAGTGCTGGGTGTGACCAGGTGGAGTGTTTGGAGGGGGATGGGGGGATGAGATCCTGGATCTCTGATAAAGTGCGTTGGGACATAATGCTAGGAGTTTCCTTATTCTGGGAAGGCACACTGGAACAACCACATTTTCAAGCTCCTCCTAAAGATTGCTAGCGACGGGCCCTGCCTGATGTCCTTAGGGAGAGAGTTCCAGAGTCGATGGGCCACCACCGAGAAAGCCCTATCCCTCGTCCCCACTAATTGTGCTTGCGATGCCGGTGGGATCGTGAGCAGGGCCTCTCCAGATGAGCGAAGAGATCGTGTGGGCTGTTAGGAATAGTGAGAGTTGAAGTCCAAAACACCTGGACGGCCAAAGTTTGCCCATCCGTGATCTATAGCATCCGACAACATTATCAAAGTAGCTGTAGCAGTCTTTGTTCGATTCTACAACTGTTGTCTTGTGGAATCCCTCAGGGTTCAGTACTGTCCCCGATGTTGTTTAACATCTACATGAAGCCGCTGGGGGAGCTCATCCGGAGTTTCAGAGTACAATGTTATCTGTATGCAGATGACATCCAAATCTGTCACTCCTTCCCACCTGTTACTAAGGAGGCTGTTCAGACCTTGAACCAGTGCTTGGCTGCTGTCTCGGACTGGATGAGGGCTAACAAATTGAAATTGAATCCAGACAAGACGGAGGTCCTCCTGGTCAGTCGAAAGACCGAACAGGGCATAGGGTTACAGCCAGTGTTGGATGGGGTTACACTACCCCTGAAGATGCAGGTTCACAGATTGGGAGTGATCCTGGATTCATCACTGAGCCTGGAACCCCAGGTTTCGGCGGTGGACATGGGAGCTTTTGCACAATTAAAACTTGTGTTCCAGCTGTGCCTCTACCTTGGGAAGTCTGATCTGGCTATGATGGTCCACGCTCTTGTTACATCCTGAATAGATTACTGCAATGCACTCCATGTGGGGCTGGCTTTGATGACTGTTTGGAAACTCCAACTAGTCCAACAGGCGGCAGCCAGATTACTTACTGGAGCAGCATACAGGGAGCACACTACCCCCCTGTTGTGTCAGCTCCACTGGATGCCGGTCCACTTCTGAGCACAATTCAAAGTGCTGACCTTGGCCTATAAAGCCCTATACGTTTCCGGCTCAGCTTACTTGTCCGAACGTATCTCCCTCTTAAGTCCCACCTTGCAGTTTAAGAACATCCGGGGAGGCCCTACTCTCGGTTCCACCAGCTTCACAAATGCGTTTGGCGGGAAAGAGAGACAGCGCCTTCTCGGCAATTGCCTCCCGTCTGTGGAACTCTCTTCCCAGAGAGATAAGGTTGGCTTCATCTCTCCTGTCTTTTAGGAAGAAATTGAAATCATGGTTCTGGGACCAGGTTTTGGACAGCAGGTATAACAGCACTTTGGATGTGGAATTGGATTGGAATGGTTATATGGCTGACAATGATGCTTTTAATTGTTTTAATTAATGTTTTATCTATCGTTTTAAATTGCTGTTATATTGTTGTATCTGTTTATTTGTTGTGGCATCAAATTGTTTCCAAGTGTAAGTCGTTCTGAGTCCATCTCCAGGGGTTGAGAAGGACAGGGTAGAAATGCTGGAAATAAATAAATAATAATAAATAATACATCCAATAAGGGAATGGAGGAGAATATTGTTCTGTTCATCTTTTTTAAAGCAATACAACCTGATTTCTGCTCTCAGGACTAATATGCAGGTCAGAACACCATTATGCTTTGGACTACACGCATGCCTGGATTTTCTACTGGAGCGCTTGGATGTAAACACTCACACGCTCGCACATAGAGAGAGAAATATATAGGAAAGTGGTATCCAAAAAGGGTACACAATGAGAAAACGTGCAATTGTGTGTAAGTTTTTTTTAAAAAAGAACCCTGAAGAATGAGACCAAAACAGAATGGTTGAACTTCTGATTGAACATCCTTAAAATTGGCATGGTTTGTGCATAGGCTTAGTTGTCCATCCAAGGTCATACTTACAGGTTCCAATACTTCTGGCACCACAGCCTCTCCTTTGGCATCTTCTTCTTCCTCCTTCTCCGGTTCTTCGTTCTCTTTATTGTCAGTCCACGGAGTTGTATCTTGAGCAGAGCAGGTGCTTATTAAGTCTGGCAAACTTGTCGATGGATAATTAAGGAAATCCTCTTCTGCCCCTTCCTGTGAGGAGAGTAGGAAAAACACATTATTTACTTGGCTATTGGAGTTTAGTAATTCTACAGAACAATGTTGTGCTGTACGCTTTTATTAGCATCACATTATAAGTTAGAGCCAGCAGATACCAGGAGGGATGGCATTTGTTCATAGTGCTGGAGGCAATAGCATTCAAAGAATATCAATATGTCTGTTCTATCTTTGAGGCTCCGTCGAACAGCTGATCCTTTGGAGCCAACATGGGAGTGAATCAGTCCACAGTCCGCATGATCATGCTGCACAACAGCGTCGCTATTTCCAGGATCACGACGCCCTTTTAAACAGTTATCATCAATATGGATATTTTTAAAACTCAATAACCATCTAATGGTCTCCTCCAAGTTCCCACTTGGCTGCTTTCCTGCTTCTCTATATTTAAAAAATGTAACACACTCTTTATTAGCAGAGATCACATCTTCAGCCATTGGCTATTCATAGTCTTTCATGGCTATTCATAGTCTTTATTATAATTTTGGTCTTACGCTTTTAAAAAAAATTACAGAGCTAAGCTTTCTTAAAATACATAATTGTACACTGGACCATTACAAAATCATGTATGATTCACATATATAGAGAGGTTGGAAAACAAACAATAGAATGGGATGCTTTACATTAAAAATTAAAGAGAGCAAAAAGTGCTCACAAGTTCTGATTCACACAGCAGCAACTTGCCTTTGTGAAACACCACATTATGGTGAAACACCACAGGCAGAACTTTCTCTCAATGACAACACTTACTTTCTAACTAAATTGAGTTTGCAAAATCAGTCAAAAGTTGACTAATCAAATTATAAAGAAGCCGAATATGCTGCACTTGCACAAGTGAAGCAGCCCTTCTCAAGTCTTGAAAACACAGCTTTCCATTCACCTGGAGCAGATGATGGCAAGGTTTTCTCCTATTCAAGTCAATTGGACAGACCTGGGGAGTGATGTGATGGGAGAAAGAATTTCAAGGTGTGGGCCAACATCTGACTCCTAGAATGCAAATACATCTACATCTGTTCCAAATGGTTCTACTGACAAGATGAGGTGAGAGAGAGAGAGAAAAAAATCCCCCAGCAGAGTTACTGCCAAACCTGGCTGGTATTTAATAACTCCAACTGAAACATTGCAAAAGTCACTGTAAGCACGCACATCTTGAGACTTGTATATTTCAGGGAGTCTTAATTTCACAATGAATTTGAATGTTATCAGATGACTTGGTGGGTGAGGTTGTTTGCTCAAGGGATTGGGATGTAAAATCTGGACATCATAAAGCTGGAAGAGACCTCATGGGCCATCCAGTCCAATCCCTTTCTGCCAAGAAGCAGGAAAATCACATTCAAAGCACCCCCCCCCCCCAACAGATAGCCCTCCAGCCTCTGTTTAAAAGCCCCCAAAGAAGGAGCCTCCACCACAGTCTGGGGCAGAGAGTTCCACTGCTGAACAGCTCTCACAGTTAGGAAGTTCTTCCTCATGTTCAGGTGGAATCTCCTTTCCTGTAGTTTGAAGCCATTGTTCCATGTCATAGTCTCCAGGGCAGCGGAAAACAAGCTTGCTCCCTCCTTCCTATGACTTCCCCTCACATATTTATACATGGCTATCATGTCTCCTCTCAGCCTTCTCTTCTGCAGGCTAAACAAGCCCAGCTCTTTGAGCTGCTCCTCATAGGACTTGTTCTCCAAACCCTTGATCATTTTAGACACCCTCCTCTAGATACATTTCAGCTTGTTAACATCTCCCTTCAATTGCTGTGCTCAGAATTAGACACAGTGTGATTCCAGGTGTTCTGACCAAGGCAGAACAGAGGGGTAGCATGACTTCCCCAGATCTGGACACTATACTCCTCTTTATACATTCCAAAATCCCATTGTCTTTTATTGCCACCGCATGATATTGTTGACTCATGTTTAACTTGTTGTCCATGAGGACTCCAAGATACTTTTCACACGTACTGCTGTCGAGCCGGGCATCCCCCATTCTGTATCATTGCATTTCAATTTTTTTCCTGAGTGGAGTATCTTGCATTTGTCCCTGTTGAACTTCATTTTGTTAGTTTTGGCCCATCTCTCTAATCATGGATGTAAAAAGCAAATACCAAAGGTTAGTTGGTTTCCCAGATGTTTTGGCCTTCACTCCCAGAAATTCTAACAGCTGGTAAACTGGCTGGGATTTCTGGGAGCTGTAGGCCAAAACACCCGGGGACCCACAGGTTGAGCACCACTGCCCTGCACAGTATTGTCAAACACAGGCTCTTTAAATAGGTTCTGATATACTGATTCTCATGATTGCCACCTGCTTCATGGACGGGAGGAGAGAAGCATCCAACAATTGCAAGTCTATAGATTTATCAAACAGTTGTCTACTCCAACTTAGATAGATCTGCCAGCCAGTTCTCTCCCCAACCCCCCAAGGAACCATTATTTGTAAAACAGAACAGACCAAAAGTTCTAGTTTATAAACACCACATACTTTTAGTTGTTATTTTTCCCTTCACATCTTAACTTATTAGGAGGACTGCAGCTCCCCAAAGATTTTAGGACCAGCAATTTTTCTCATATTTTTTTCCAGCAGCAGGAGTCTGGCAGGGCTCAAAGAGTGCTAAAATGGATGAGAGACACATACGTCCCATAGGGAACTAACTGTCCATCCTTGAATACCCGAAAGTCCCACTAGAGTCCATTTAGTCCTGCTTAAGTTTTCTAGAGTGACTAAACTTCAATGTATTATATGCATATGGTGTCAGCTTCAAACTCAGGTGCCGTCTGTTGAAAGGATCTCAAAATGCAAGATTTGGAAAAACAAACCGAAGAGATATACTTAGTCATCAATATGAGTCAGAGAGAGAGAATGATATAAAACTTAGCATGGGGTGGTGCAGAGAGGGAGAATGTATATGCGATATTGCAAATGGCACTTAAATTTGGCTCTAACTCAATTTAATGTTTTGGCATTCATTTCACCCCATTGGCTGTGTCTTCAATGTACTGTTCTCATGGATCAAAGGCATAGCTTGGAAATACTGTAATCCAAAAAGCTAATTTCACTGGAAAAGGGATTTCCTCCTCTTGATAAATTGGCAAATAGCTTCACTCAATACAGGTATACCTCAATTAACAAAGTAAATGTGTTCCTGTAATTACTTCTATAACAGAAAAGTTGTTGCCAGAAGTAACATGAACAGAATAGAGAGAATTAAATGAAGCCACCAGGTTAGGTAAGCCCTGAACAAGTTTTAAAATCTTAGAACCTTCTAGACCAGGTATGGGCAAACCCAGACCCGAGGGCCAGATGTGGCCCCTTGGGCTCTTTTCTCATGTCCTCCTCTCTCTTACCATCCTATCCTTCCTTCCTTCTCTCTTTCTTTCCTTCCTCCTCCTCTCCCTCACTCCTTTTTTCTCTTCCACTCTTTCATCCTTCCTTCCTTCTTTCCTCCCTCTCTCCTTCCCTCTCTCTATTTTTTTCCTTCCCTTTTCTATCCTTCCTTCCCTCTTTCCTTCCTTCTCGCCTCCCTCCATTCCCTTCCACCCTACCTTCCATCCTTCTCATCCTCCCTCCCTTTTCTTTTTCTTTCCTCCTTTCCTCTCGTGGAATGTTTAGCTGGGAGAAGAGAAGGTAGAGAGGAAACATGAGAATAATGTTTCAAGGTTTAGGAGGGGGAAACTGACTTTCTGCTGTTCTAGAGACCAGGACATAAGGGACCAATGGGTTCAAATTGGGGGTGGGGGGGGTGGATTTGACTGAAAAGATTAGGAAGAACTTCCTGAGAGTAAGGGTTATTGAAGAGTAGCATAGGCTGCCTCAGAGTGTGGTGGAGTTTCCTTCTCCGGAGGCTTTTCTGCAGAGGCTGTCTATCAGGAGTGCTTTGATTGTGCCTTCTTACATGGCAGGGGGTTGGACTGGATGGCCCTTGGGGGTTTCTTCTATCTCTAGGATTCTAGGATTAGATATCAGGAGTAGGCAATACAGGGTCTGGTGGATACACTTTTTCTTTCTCATTCATCATCTTATCATAACCAAGGCTAACCCTTTTGGAATCCAAATGTTTCCTATCTTTCCTTCACTTTCTACCTCTGAAAGAAAAGAGGAAGGGGAGGAAAGGGCAGGAAGGGGACTTGGGGAGAACCCCCCCCCCCCCATGGCCCACACACCTTACTCCAGTCCACCATATGGCCCCCAAGTTAGAAAGCTTACCCATGCCTGTTCTAGACACAAATTGAAGGTTTCTCCCAAAATGCATCCCAGGAAGACTCATTCATTCACCAGCCTACGCTTTTCTTATGATTTCCATTTTTGTGGCCAAGCCAAGAGATCTAAGCTTTTGAAACAAATGGGGGCTATTTGTTGACTCAGACATACCTGCTCTCCCCCTTTTCATCTATTTTGCAGTTCGCCTATGTCCAGAAAAGGCAGCTACTGTTTACACTGTTTGTTGTAGGTAGCTACTGTTTACACTGCTTGTTGTAGGTAGCTACTGTTTACATTGCTTGTTGTAAGTGGGCACACAAGTACAGGAGGAAAGGTTACAACAATACCATTCTTTTCCAACCCACGCTTTATTGCATTCTTTACTGCAGATATGCTGCTGTTACCAAACACTAAACACCTGCATTTCACCTTCTTCCCTTTAAAAAAAAGCCTTCAGCTAGTGGTTCTCAACCTGTGGGTCCTCAGGTGTTTTGGCCTACAACTCCCAGAAATCCCAGCCAGTTTACCAGCTGTTAGGATTTCTTGGAGTTGAAGGCCAAAACATCTAGGGACCCACAGGTTGAGAACCTCTGAAAAAAGCTTGAGGAAAAAGGAATATCATTGTCAGAGGCTTTATTCACTGTAGTGTGCCTGTATAAAGCTGTTTCATGAGACAGATAATACCATTCTCTGTTTCCCTGGTGCCTAGTACATAAAGATACAATTCCATGAGTTGCAGGAAAGAGTGATAAAGAAGCTTGCAACCTCACATGTGTTAGACCTGGTTTCAATGGATATTCTTGGCCTTTATAACAATTGATCACAGAATGCAGCAAATGAGTCTCAAAGCCCTTCAGAAGTCTTCACTTAAATAGCTTGGATAGCATCCATTGTGAGGCCTTGTCTCAATTAATTTTGTAAAGCCAACTAAGCTAATGGCTACCATCCAAACTCATTGCAGTACATTTCAGGAGATAGTTGTTCAATAAACAAAGCAGAACTTTCTTTTACTGGTCCAGCATTTGTTCCAGCACTTTATAAAAGCCATCTGAACTGGAAATCATTATTACATCTTGCATAAACAAATCTTCTTTGCACTTCTGCATACAAAACCACACACGGCAAATTACTTACCCTGCTTGCAACCACCAGGTAGGTGAGGCCCTCAGCTGAGCGAAGAAGGGCAACAGCATCTTGATGGGAAAGACCAACCAATGACTGGCCATTGATCATTAGCAGCTCATCTCCTACTTTCAGCCTTCCATCCCTATCGGAATAAAAAGCAAAGTTACATGGTTTCTTAAAAGAAGAAGAGACGCCACTTTTTGAAGGCTTAAGAGAAAGCATTGTATGCTGCTTGGAAATGTCCTACTGGAAGTTAGCAATTACCACATCAGTGAAGGCAGTGAATCCACTTCGAGTTTTAGTCTGACCTTTAAAGGAGCTATCCATGGTGCTGACCTTCTGTGGGTTAGTGTTCATCATACTGGATAGTTCAAAAATATTTTATATTATTGCTATTCTTTTTCATTGAGTGATTTTCATCAACTTTGCATGATTACATTGTATTGTGTGGTGCACTGTATTGTACCTTCTATACTCCTATAAAGGTAGAGGTTTCCCATTGACATTAAGTCAGGTCCAACTCTGGGGGTTGGTGCTCATCTCCATTTCTAAGCCGAAGAGTCGGCATTGTCCGTAGACATCTCCAAGGTCATGTGGCCAGCATGACTGCATAGAGTGCTGTTACCAGAGTTGTCCATAGACACCTCTATGGTCATGTGGCTGGCAGGACTACACGGAGCACCATTGCCTTCCCATTGATCTACTCACATTTGCATGTTTTTGAACTGCTAGGTTGGCAGAAGCTGGGGCTACCAATGGGTGTTCACCTCGTCATATATCAGTCTTTGAATTTTAGTCAAAAAACCAACTAAACATTCTTGGTCAACTATCCTCAACATCAATGTGTGTACTGTACATTAGCAGTTATTAAAAAATTACTTCATCCCAGGAAAACCTAAAAGAATCACCTCCTTTAACTTTGACCATTCTGGTGCTGCTTCTGGCGTATTTGAATGCTGGACCAGGGAAATGATGACGATGGCCAAGGGCGGCTGTCCCCAAGGCAGTACTGGTGTTCTCCGCACTTTACAGAATGACCCTCAAATTATCCATGGGTCATATCAAAATCCATAAATTTAGCCCCCAAATCTTCCCTTGAGTTATATATGAGGTTGAATTGTACATGAATATATAAAGTACTTTTAAGTTTCTTTTGTGTGTGTGTGTGTGTGTGTGTGTATGTATATATGTGTATGTATGTATGTATGTGTGTGTGTGTGTGTATGTGTGTGTGTGTGTGTATATGTATATATATATATATATGTATATATATACACACACTGTAGCTCAAGACTTCTAAGATGCAATTTTTCACCATATAATGCCTTGAAAAACAGGGTGCCTTTTAAAATTGTGGGTGCCTTTTATACAGAAAATAAATACAGTTTTTTTTTTCTATTGCTGGTACTGAAATTAGTGCGCATCTTAGAGTCAATGGTGTCTTGGATGAAATACGGCAGTATTACAGTTACTACACATTTGACTAATTGCTACGATACATTTCACTTGTTCCTTTGAAGTTGAGACTAAAACCCAGAATATGTTCACCACCACATTATCATGCATTTGTTTAAGTTGCTGCACCGGTTTCCACTTGATGCCAGCATGCAAAGACAGAAACACAGTGTGGCTATACCTACAATAGTGTTCCAATAATTGGATCTCTGCCTCCTCCACGAATTATGAATAAATGCCAGTGCTTTGTCTGGAAATCATCCCCATCCGCCCCCTTTCAAAGCAGGGGATTTCCAGTTGAATGCAGGCGGTACCGTCTGCGTTTTGTTAATAATGAATAATCAAGTCACTCCACATTTAGTTAACACCTTCTCTGGAGTGTCTCAGAGCACTAACGATATTGCTGGTAAGTAGGTCGGCTTTAATATTAAATTTTCCATGAAGTAGTTAACTCACTTGCTGTGGAGTACTTAATTCTGCATGGCCTCATTCTCCTAATAGTGCTTAGCATCTTATCCATCTTCGCAAGACTGAATGGGGCACCCATTGGCCAGCTTCCTTTGGCTTCTTTTCCAGGCGGCAATGGAGGAGTCCATGCCAAGGCTTATGTGGTGAGCGCCTGACCTAATTTCTCTTTGTGGGAAGGGAATCCCACAATATGCTACGTAAGTACAATGGCTGGAATAAAATGTTGACAAGCTGTAGGCTATATTTCAGAGAAAGGAACTGGCAAATCACCTCTGAACATTCCTTGTGTAAGAAAACCCTATGACATTTATGGCACTGTCACAAATCGACAAGCGACTTGAAGGTATGCGAGCATATACAGACACATACATAACAAAAGGTAACTTAAAGGAATAGTTTTTCCCCAGGGAAGTGGAGGTGCCTGGAGCAGAAAATCCCACAAGCACTTCCCTTCCCTTCTCTTGCAGTTAAAAAAGAAAGAAAGAAAGAAAATAAAAGAAAAAGTTGACAATATATTAAGTAACTGTTTGACACCCTTTCACAATACTCATTTTCAAGTATTTAAGGCAGCTACCACACTCTACCTAATGATAGGGCTAGTCTGTTTTTCTGTATCACTTTTGAACTGTGCCAACATTTTAATTCTGAACTAATTTGGAAGATAATTTTGGTTGAAAAGCAGAGTAAAAATGCAAGTGGTGGTGGGGGGAGAGAAATCTTATACCTGCCTTTTGCTGGCTATTGAGTTTTGGAATATGTCCCAAGTGTTACCAACCAACTGATACATTCTGGGTGGGAAATTGAGAGACATATGACAACATATCAAACAGTACCTGTGGGCAGATCCTCCTTCTTCCACCCGTGCAATAATGATGGCATGAGGAGAGCGTTTTGAACCTCGACCTCCGGTGATCTGGATCCCCAGCCCATCTGCTCCCTTCATCATGGCCATCTTCCATATCCGGCAGCCTTCTCTCTGAGAGAGAAATTTTTAGAAAAATCTTGAATTTTTATTTAGGAAAACAGCGTTTCATGTCCCTTTTCCCATTCTATCCCAACACACACAGAGCTGTGGCTTGAAATACAAGGGCATGTGTCCCTTAGGGAACTGCAATTCCCTAAGGCAGCAGTTCTCAACCTGGGGGTCAGGGCCCCTGGAAGGGTTGTGAGGGAGGTGTCAGAGGAGTCACCAATGACCATCAGACAACACAGTATTTTTTGCTGGTCATGTGGGTTCTATGTGGGAAGTCTGGCCCAATTCTATCATTGGTGGAGTTCAGAATGCTCTTTGATTGTAGGGGAATTATAAATACCAGCAACTACAACTCCCAAATGTCAAGATTTATTTTCCCCAAACTCCATCAGTGTTCATATTTGGGCATATTGAGTATTAGTGCCAAGTTGTAGCTCTCTGGATATAAGTGAACTACAACTTCCAAACTCAAGGTCAATGCCCACCAAACTCTTCCAGAATTTTCTGTTGGTCAAAGGAGTTCTGTGTGCCAAGTCTGGTTCAATTCCATCGTTGGTGGAGTTCGTAATGCTCTTTGATTGTAGGTGAGCTATAAATCCCAGCAACTACAACTCCCATATGACAAAATCAACCTCCCCCCAAACCCACCAATATTCAAATTTTTATGTATTGGGAATTTGTGCCGAATTTGATCCAGTGAATGAAAATACATCCTGCATATCAGATATTTACATTACTATTCAGAACAGTAGCAAAATTACAATTTTGAAGTATCAACGAAAATAATTTTATGGTTGGGGGTTACAACAACATGAGAACTGTATTAAGGGGTCACAGCATTAGAAAGATTGAGAACCACTAATTTAAGGGAAGCAAAGGAGAGTTGTATTTCAAACATACAGATTTAATGACATGTGCTAACTCTCGAGCACATGCCTATGTCTTAAATATTTCAATGCAAACACCATGTCTGTACTGTAATGCAACATTAAGGATTTCACAATATTAAGAACTTATGTCTAAGTTGTATTAATTCCTTTCTCTCCCAATCTCTTTTTTTTTCTTTTTATGCTGTGACTTTTTAAGATTATAAATGTAAAACCAATATTGCAAGAAAGGTTATGCCAGGATGGTATAATGGCAAGTTATATGGCACACAATTCCCTCTTTCTAGCATCTTGCTGCTACTGAACTTCCAATATCTTCTGCTTGAGGTAACCATCTCAATTTGCCCAATGCACATGTGTAAAGTTCAAGACCTGCAGGCCCAATCTGGCCTGTCATATCGTTTTATGTAGCCTGCAAGGCTTTCAATGCCAGGGCAACATAGTAACATTGACACAGTCTTACAATTACAAATGGCCCTTTGAAGGCAACCATCACACTGATGTGGGCCTCGGTGAAAATGAGTTTGACATCCCTGGCCTAATGGAAGGGTCAAACCCAGGGTCCAGAAGTGACTTCTCTGAGCAGACACATCACTCCAGGGACTCTAAGAAGAAAAAAAGGTTACTTTCTGGATTGACCACCAGAACTTCTTCAACTTTCATCATTCCCTAGTCTTGTTAGCCTATAAGGCCATGTTAATAAAGGGTTCTGCAAAAGAAAAAGAAAAAAAGAACAAATATTTGAAAGAACTGTATCAATAAAGTGAATCATTTCAAGGAATTTATGCAAGGCAGATTTATGCAGGATGAGTGGAAGTTGACATGTGGAAGGACCGCTACTGCTGGCAATGGGAGTTTGCCACAGTACTACATGGAGCCATGAAAGTCCTCAAGCTCAGGTGCATATGAGTTTGACATCCCTGGTTTTGACCTATAAAGCTCTATATGGTTCTGGCCCAGCTTACTTGTCCGAACGCATCTGCCTCTACGACCCACCTCGTAACTTAAGATCATCCGGAGAGGCCTTGCTCTCGTTCCCACCAACACCGCAAACGCGGCTGGCCGGGACGAGAAACAGGGCCTTCTCGGCTGTAGCCCCCCGCCTGTGGAACACGCTTCCAAATGAAATACGATTGACCCCATCCCTCCTGGCATTCAGGAAGAAATTAAAATCTTGGTTTTGGGACCAAGCTTTCGGACAATAAACATAAAGCAGTACTTTGACTGGAAATGGATTGGCAAGACGATATATATGAGGATAGGGTTTTATTATTCTATCAATTGGTTTGTTGACTGAGTATTGTTTTAATGACTGTTGTGATAATTGGTTATAATTAATTGCTATTGTTTGAACTCTGTATGTATTTATGGTTTTATACTGTGTTATTGATTTGTGGCATCGAATTGCTGCCTTTGTTAGCCGCTCTGAGTCCCCCCCCCCCCCCCCCACCTCCCGCATGGCCATATTTTAGAATTAATATTTGGCCCATGTTCAAGACAAAAAGAAACAGAGCTCAGAAAAGTTGATCCCAGAACACCCTAGCTATGGTGTTCTGGTTGATTGAGAGTTATTATTAATTTTTTTTTGTCGTGTCAGGAGTGACTTGAAAAACTGCAAGTCACTTCTGGTATGAGAGAATTGGCTGTCTGCAAGGATGTTGCCCAGGGGATGCCCAGATGTTTTTGATGTTTTATCATCCTTGTGGGAGGCTTCCCTCATGTCCCTGCATGAGGAGCTGGAACTGATAGAGGGAGCTCACCCATGCTCTCCCTGGATTCAAACCTGCAACCTGTCAGTCTTCAGTCCTGTTGGCACAGGGGTTTAACCCACTGCGCCACCGGGAGCTCCATTATTAAAATATTAAAATAATATCATTATGAAAATAAGCCTAATACTATACCCATACTATATCATACCATAAGCTCTGTATTGATTTGATACAGAGTATTTTAAAAGTAAAAAAATAAAGTATTTTAAAAGAAAAAAAGTAAGCTAAGACAAACTTAGCTTAATGTGACACAATTTTACTGTATTATAAAAATTAATGTTATTTTACTTTTTACTTAAAGTATTTGTTCTTCTAATTTTGCAGTTGCTTGCGAGTTTCAATCACTTGAGTTTCAGTTAACTGCAAGTTTATTGTGTATCGCTCCAGGTTATGTAACAATTAAGGCTCACACTTGGTGCCTCACAGCCGCATGCCAGTGTTATACTGATAGACCATAATTGCCACATCCCGACACACAGGGAACTCCGTTTACTTTGGTTTCTCCTTCCACAGCAGATTTTACACACACACACAATGAAGTTTCACCTTCTTTTCAGCCAATTGACTTGAGCCTCTTCCCCAAACATTTCTGGGTGGCATTTTCTTCTTTCCCAATTTAGCCTCCCTCTCCCTTGAAGGTCTTCTGCCTATCTCTGTTTGTGAATATTTTCATGGGATCGCAAAACTAGAAGCCACGCAGTCAACTCTTCTGGTGGATGCCCAAACTCCCAGGCTGAAGTATGGCCATCCAGACCCTGCATGAGTGAGATCAGGTCCTTCCTCTAATAGTTGATCCCATTGTGGAACTGTTCTTAATTCACTCCATATATTTAGTCCATGTTTACCCATCTCTTTCTCAAGTGCCTCAGTTAAAATCTTGCCCTCTGTGACAACATAGAGCAAGTCTTCCAGGGTTTTAAAGAGCACTATCATAGCTCATCTCTAAATGACTTTACTGAATTTGCTAATATATAACAACTTCTTACAAGGTCAAGAGTTCTACATTCAGTACCATAAACTATTTAGCAAAAGTAGGTACTAAGTGAATATGCTGCCTCATTATTCCAAGTTAAGTGGAAAATAAGTGCTTTCTAAATTATTTCCTTCATAGTTTTTGCAATGTAATACAAACATGACATGTATTTGAAAGTCTCTGACTTAAGTGAACCGCAACATTTTTGTAAGCCACTTTGACCCTTTAAGTCATGGTGAAACAAAAGTGGACAGATGTTATATTACAATCTAGATCTTTGGCAAGATTCTACAAATAGGTCTGTGCTTAACTTTCCCATGTTTACTTTTCATTGTTAAATTATTGGGAATATTTTATACCTTTTTAAAACTTCTTATAACATATGGCATCTTCACCATACTCATGTGCCTTGAGCACATGAGTCCCAGTTTTCTTCTGTGAAATGTAGGCAGGTCCGAATGGGGAAATGACAGATTTTCAAGATGAGGCTGACAATGAAAACAGTAACTTCCATATCCAGCTTATGAAATAATAATAATAATAATAATAATAATAATAATAATAATAACAACAACAACAACAACAACAACAACTTAATAATAATAAAAAGCTGACACAATATGAGGATTTAAAGATCGAACTGCAAAGGCTCTGGCATAAGCCAGTAAAGGTGGTCCCAGTGGTGATCAGCACACTGGGTGCAGTGCCTAAAGGCCTTGGCCTGCACTTAAGCACAATCATGACTGACAAAATTACCATCTGTCAGCTGCAAAAGGCCACCGTACTGGGATCTGCACACATTATTCGCCAATACATCACACAGTCCTAGACAATTGGGAAGTGTCTGACGTGTGATCCAATACAACAGCCAGTAGAGTGATCTTGTTTGCTGTGGACTCATCTTGTTGTGTTTCAAATAATAATAATAACTTTTTGTACCCCGCCTCAATCATCCCAAAGAGACTTGGGGCGGCTTACATGGGGACAAGCCCGATCAACATAGTAAAAATATAACACATTAAAAATCATAAAACAGCCACATAAAGCAACATAAAGCAAACTATAGCATAACACAAAATAAAAACAACGATCGAAGAGACAACCAGTAGCCTGAAATAGCAAAACAGTTCTGGGCTCAGATGGGGGGGGAGGGGGGGCAATACAAATCAGTTGTGAGGAGAGGGCTGATAGATAAAGTGCAAGTGCCAGATGACAAAAATTGGGGATAAATGGCAATGAGGTGGAACACTATATTTATTTATTTATTTATTATTTCAAATATTTGTACCCCGCCCTTCTCTACCCCCTAAGGGGCACTCAGAGCGGCTTATAGACAGCAACAATTCGATGGCCCCCATATACAAACAGATAAAA